ATATTTCATTTCCTTCAGCAGCTCGTTCCAAATCTGATTTAGTTCAGGCCAGTCTACCACTGAGTCTAAAGAATAAACTTCTCTACTAGAGGACCTCCCAACAGAAACGTACCACCACACCCCCCCCCCCTCTTCTAACCCCACAGCGGGAGGGCCCACGGCTGCTCACCTGAGCGCCTGCAGAGAGGGGCTGCCGCTCCGCGTCACAGATTAAGAAGGGCTGCTCTAAGGCCAGGACGACGCTGAGTGGCAGGGCGGAGGCGTTTCTTAAAGAAAGAGGCTGGTGCTGCACAGTTAGGACATCGCTGGGTTGCTACAGAAACAGGACACAAGGGAAAAAACGACGTGAAGTGGCCACGGAACTCCTTCCCTTTCCGATGCATTTCAAGTTTTTCAACCCCAAAAGTGCATACACCTCTATTTATATTTTTATTAGTTTCTACCCTTCTAGGTGGTTTTTCTCGAAGTATATCAGATCCTTTCATGTTTAGAAACCACAGCATCCCCCGGGGACAGGGAAACACTCTGGCACACAGAGGAGGGAATAGGACCCTGAGAGGAGGCAGCTGCATGAACAAGACCAATAGCAGAAAGTGAGCCCAGAGCACTTGTCTCCGTTTTGTATCCTCTCTCGAGAAGAATGGCACAAGAGGATTTTCACTCACATACAGTCATTGCTTACAGCCTTATCAGCTCTAGCAGCCTCATAAGAGCAGTGATGCTGGTCAGAGGAGAAAAGCGAGCAGGATTTGGCCCACAGTGGAGAGCCTGCAGCAGCCTAAGGTTGGCTTTGAGCATCTACAGGCACAAACAGACAGTGAGAAACCTCAACAGTCGGGATGCAACGGGTGTCCTGCTGCCCCTGCTCCAGCGACAAGCTGTCTGTAGCCTCAAAGTTCAGCTCCGGCTAAGCTATTTCTTCCTGTTTATGCATTGCTCTGGGCTTCCTGCATGTTTTCTATAAAAGAGACAGTGTTTGGGAATCTGCTTCTGGAGGTATTGATATCAAACAGCTGCAGTGTCATCAACACTCAAATAATCAGAGTGCATGGCAGCAAGCAGACCACAGGCAGGCATCAGGGACAGCTGAAAAGCTTCTAATGAAACCTGAACTGCCCGCTCACAGGAATTTGTGCTTCTCTGGAAGCCTGGGAACCAGAGGAGAGACCTGAAATCACAGGAAATAAATAAGGAAATATCTTCTCTTTTTCAGACAACTTGCGGGAGAGGGAAAGGTGATGCAGGAGTCAGGATCCAGAGGCTAAAGGGCACCTGCTTTGCACCGGTGTTATCACTGCAGCTGAAGGATGTCTGCAAGTCCTTTGAAGAAGGTGAAGCTTGGGGAATTGCAGAGTTACCACACCAACAGCAGAGAAGGCAAAGAGAAACAAGAGATGACAGGTTTTTCTCATCAGCCTGAGGAGCTGACAGGAATCTCAGTTCTCAGCTTCCCTACAGGATCGGTGTTCAGACATCACCGTTGCCTTGGAGGATCCCCAAAAACCTCCCTTCACTCCGAGTACAGGAACTGGTGTCTCTCTAAAGAGGCCATGATGCCCCTCAGCAGAGCAGCTGTTATCTCATTTTTACTTGGGTGAAGTTAAAAACCAGTCCCATCTCTAAAGACATCCTCGCTTACTTTACGAAGCCCCTCAGGAAGGGTGAGAAGGGGGTTTAGCATCGCTCAGCTGCAGCACTCTGCTCACCCACCTGAAGCCCCAGCACACAAGGCGGCTGCGCAAAGCCCACGCTGTTCTCGTGGGTCCCGCACGTCTCGCCCTGTGCCCTCGGCTCAGCAGCTCAACTCTGTCTCCACATCAGGAGGGCAGAATATAGCTGGTGGGACTGCTCCCGATCCCAGAGGAGCAAATATTGATCTCAGTATTAATGGCAAAATCTTGGTCCAGCTCAACTCCATAGTCAAAGCCCCAGGGACTTGGAGAAACCACTTATTTTCATCCTTTGACCACAAACACACCCCCCACCAGGCTTTCAGTCACCAGCCACGCTATAAAATGCCAGGATGAAATCCAGAGACTTACCTTCTCCACCCGGAAAGTGATTTCCCTGGAGGACATTCGCAGGACAAGAGCAGTGAACTCGCAGGTGACATCCACTTCCATTATCAGAGCCTTCTCCGCCTTGCTCCCCACGACGGTGTGGCACAGCAGCCGCTCCTTCACCACCTGCACAGAGGAGTGACCCATCACCCAGCAGGGCCCAGCAGGGCGTCCCCAAAACGCACTGCATTTGCTGCCCACCCAACCACACACCCTATTACCGCCATCAAGTTACGGCCAAGATAGGGCTCCTCAGCAGCCCCCTCTTCTTTTTATGCTGCGTCCCAGTTATTCTGCTCTCAAACGTCCGTAACGCCACACCCCACTATCCACAAAAAGCCCTCATGAGTCATGTGCTGCCTACAACTGTAATAGTCCCTGCCCCAGGTTATTACTGTTTTGATTTGTCCCACTGCCAACCATAAAACTTACAGAAAGCTATAGGAACTGACTTAAAAAATAGTAATACAACTATATCGGTGTAGGTGATAGGTAGGACATAGGTGATAGAAGGGCCAATGCTAGCAAACCGTCCCTTGGAAGCTTAGGGAACAGGATCCATGGGAAAAACCCAAACAGCCAGACTGCCTTCAGGTAAAGGGGGGGCACTCATTCCTAGCAGGTACTGTGCCCTCCTAGAGCTGGTTTTAAAAGAAACCTCCCCAGGAAAGAGATGTCTTGCAGTTCGCATGAAAACCCTCGGCTTAAGCTGGATGCTCTTACACTTCAGACTTCTTCCTGATTTCTCAGGGTTTCAGTTCCCCCAAATCCTCCCTTCATTCCTCACTCTTCCCTCTGATACACCACCACAACCCAACTCCTCCTCAGAGTCTACGGACTCAAAATCATCCGTGCTGTGTGTGTGATGCAGGGAGTTGGGCTGGTGACCAACCTCAAGAGTATTAAGTTCTCAAGACCCGAGGAAGGTGGAAAGCCCACTCCCAGGGTCTTGGCTTTGACTGCAGGAGCCAGGTAGCCACAGCTCAGCTCACAGATCCCCTTTTGGCTTTCCAGGCAAGACAGCCTCACCTGCACTCTGAGCACTTTATTTCCTTTCTGGTACCTCTTCCCTGCTTCAGCTAAACCTTTGGGCTCCAAACTGCACAGGGACAGTCCCATCACAGTCAACCAGGTGAGTAATCAAGTATTCCTCAAGCTACCACCAAGGCAACAACCCTTTAAAACACCTTTCAAAACACAAGTATCAGCAGGAGGTTGGTGCAGATTTATTCCACATTCGCCTAAACCTCTGGTCTTGGAGAGAGGGGATGCACACCAGGGTTAGCTGGCAGCTTCTCTGCAGAGTTGGATTGACCCTGGAAAGAAGGGTCCAAGGAGGAGAACACCCCATGACCCTGCTGAAGTCTCCCCCCCTTGAGCTGCCTTCCAAGGGTGCTGCGAGACCTGCCTGCCCTTGGCACCCCGGGACTGGCTGAGAGACTGGGGCGAGCTGTTACGGAAATATCAACAAAGTCAAGCTGTCAGTCATAACGATCCCTGCGAACAGTTTCCCACATGGATGAACATCACCCCAATCACTACAGCTGACACACTGTGTTCATTTTTCTGCTCCTCTGCCCATGCTTGTCTACAGAGGAAAAACAATGCTACGTCCAGACACTCCCTCCCTTCACAGGTGTTTTGTTTTACTCACTGCTTCCCCCACATACATTACTTGGCACTTTTTACTTTCTGCCTGTGTTCCTAGTCTAAGCATAACTTATTTTCTCTGCCCTTCCTTTCTGCCTCAGCACATGTCACCTTGTAACCTGCCATTTGCCCCTGAAGAAAGAATATTTCCTTCAGCCCGTGTTTTGGTACCAGCAGGTTGGGTTTATGGTAGCCATGGAAACATGAAAAAGCCTTAGAAACTGATGGTGGCCAGCAAGGAAAGCAGCTCGTGCTGCCATGCTAACTTGTGGCGTTAGAACAGTTTCTTGAAAGCACTTGCTCCTGATGGGGAAGGCTCAGCCCTCGGGGGGGGACCTCACCTGGGAAATGCTGGAGAAGCCTTCCAGCACCATCTCCACAGTCTTGTCCGGCATCAGCTCCACCCTCAACAGTTGAACCTTAAACACAGGGCGGGCAGGTCAGGGGCTCTGGGAGGAGCCTTGGCCCTCGGTGGTGCTGACAGCAGGGACACAATCATGCTGGCAAAACGGGCCAAAAGCTGCTGTTGACCAGTAGAGCCGATGGGTGCGCCATCCTTTGTTTGTTACCTTGAAGTGGTAACAGCAGGGATCCAGGCTAGAAAGGAAAAAGAGATGGAAAGTGTCATGGGAGCTGCTATCTCCCAGCTGTCACCCAGCTTCAGCACCCTGATGGCGTTATCTGACTGCACACTCAGCAATAAAAGCATCTCCAAAAAGGCTGACCTCACTCAAAGCTTTGGCAAAAGCCAGACCTTGGTTGCCCCTAAATATATCATCATCCAGTAGCTGCTCTGTTTGTGTACAGCAAGGAAGAGCTGCATGAAGATCATCATCTCAGCTGCTGCAGACAGAGCATCACCAGACTAGAGACCCTCTGGTGACCTGGGCACCCCTTGCCTCGCTGGCGGGGCCCCTGCCCTGGCACCCACGTTATCCCCTCACTCCCCATCCCTTAGGGAGCGTCCAACCTCATCACCCCCAACATGTCGTCCTTTGCCTGAACCGTGCAGCTGGTTTTGTGGTTTAGGAAAGTTACACGCAACTGTGAGAACACAGGATCAACGAAGTTTCCCCAGTACAAACGTGGCAGCAAGAACAGGTCTGGCTGCTGAGGGGATGGAGCAAAAATGAGGGGTGAATAAATAGAGGTAGATACAAACCAAAATGAATATTCAACAGAAATTGATTTCTTCATGTAAAGAAACACTAACTGCAGGCCAGTCTGGAGTAATTATTTTACCCTCTATAAATCTGAGCACAACCAGGACATGAGTTGTTCCTGGAACAGTTACTGGTTTTCTGAAAAGGACAGAATACACAGCTTACAAAATGCATGTCCGCCACAAGCAGCTAAATACACAGACCTGAGAGTATAGAACAAACCAGCCTTTGAAACAGACTGTGAAAACACGATGTGTACGAGCTTAGCGTGAAACGGTTTATGTGCTGGACAGCACAGATGAACACCTGCAGAAGCTCTGGGTGATGCAGAATCTGTGGCTCTGGGAAAGCCCAACTCATCTGAGATGTTACCTGGGCCCCATCTCAGCTCACCTGGCGGCACCTCTGCAGCCAACAGCAAAGGCAACAACTCCAGAGTCTGCAGAGCAAGATGTGCAGGGGGGCAGAGGACGATGACAGAAATCACACTGACATCGCCCACTCCGTTGGGTAGCCAATTTGTGGCTGCACAGAGCACAGGACACGCCGGACAAGCACCAACCTCCCTGCAACGTCCCTGCTCTTTCTACCCTGAAATTTAGGTATCGGGCCAATATGGACCCTCTGCAGCCAGGGAAAGGAACAGGCACCTCAAGAAGACTATTCTCCTCCTCCCAAGAGGTGTCCAACACAAGGCAGGCAGCACTCTGAAAGGTTTATTTTTCTCCCATTTATGGGAACGTGCCTGGTTTCAGACACAGGCGTTAGGACCAGTGAATCTCCCTCCCTTGAGCTAAGCTCTTTCATTAACACCTTCCATTTATCCCGCCCAAACTCAGTGGACTTCTACTCCTCTCCCTTCCAGAGCTGGTCCTGCAGCCACCCTTGCCTGCCCGCATCTCAGGCTCCGCTGCGGCGGTGACACCGAGGAAAGCCGGTGGGAGAGACGAGGGAAGAGCGTCTACATCTAGTCAAGAGCAGCCCAGCAAGGGAGCAAACTGACGGTGATATGGGGCAAAGAAATTCTGCTGCTCTTCCAGGACTGCTGGGCACAAAGCAGCATCATTAATTTAGTCAAGGACCTGCTAACAAGCTACCACCAAGGCTTTCCACTGTTGTGAGATGATACTCCACAGGGAAGGGAAAAACAAGCAACGTTATTGCAAAGGGAAATATGTTTATACTTCTAATGTGGCATTTTCCACCCAGAGGCTTCCAGCACCTGCTGTTTTCCTCCAAATCTTTACTGGATAAAGTGAGGAAATAGAAGTATTACAACTGAAGACAAATCAGTGATGATTTAACAGCTGGTTTCGATTTTGGTGGCTTTTGAGGGTACCTAACAACTTCCAAATGGCCACAGAAGGTTTCTAAAGGAAGCCCTGTGCCTTCAGGAAAACAGAGCCAGGACCTTGAGTGCTGAAGAACAACCAGTCTGAAGGACTACAGCAAAACTGCCCCTTGCTGAGCCCATGGCAGGAGCTGACACTGAGAGATACCCTGCCTGAAGTGAGGTCCCAAGTTGAGCTCCGGAGCAAAGGGTTTGTCAGTGACAATCGTGGTGCCAGTGCCAACAGCCCGGACAGGGATAACGTAGGTGTGGCTGTTCTCGATGAAGAGGTTCACCTCGTCCTTGAATTTCTGCGTGTCATCCAAGCTCGCTAGGACAGCCACAGACACCTCTGTCTCGGGGGGAATCACTCCTTCACTGGGTTCAATCCTCCAGTGTGAGCATTTGCCAGCCTGTAAGACAAGCCGAAGACTAACTTAGCATGGAAACCATGGACCCTGGGATCTTGTGGGGTGCAGGAAAAGGAAGGAATAAAGATATGAGGATAAAAACCAGAGAGGCTCCATTTCCCTAAATCCAAGCTAGTGTTTGGAAAGAGCAACTCTGCAGGAGCTTCTACAACCTGTATTTTACCTTCCTTTAACAGACTCACTTCATTAACCCCGTTGTTGCCCAACCCAGGGGGTGCTCATCCTGAGGACGAGGTTATTCCCCCTCCGCTCTCTTCTGGAGCACATGCCAAGGGAAGCTCCTTCACCTCTCCTGGCTTCAAGACAATGGGGGCTGCGTTGGCATAAAGGCTCAAGGCCAGAGCAAGCCAGGACTGCTCAAATCCCACCACAGCAGCCACACGGCTGGGGGATGCTACTGAGAGCCGGAAGACTAACTCTGCAAAACCAGCTGATCGAAACCCTGACAGCAACATCTTCTTTCCCAAGAGTTACACAGTGTTTCTCAACAGCCTCTGAAGAACTGACGCGCTCAGTTCCCACTGATCACCAGCTGCAGTGAGGTGCCCCAGTGCCCTCTGCTTTGGAAAATTCAGCTATTAATGTTCGTAGCAGGGCAGTAAAGCAATAAGCAGAAAGCAAACCGGAAGGCACGTGCCCTGTAGGCATGGCCCGAGCTTCCCCAGCACTCTCTTCCCTCTGGTTTCTCATGGACCTCCCTCCACATTTGGGGCAGCGAAGGTGCTGGACCCCAGCCCCTCTAAAACCACGTTCCCAGGGAGCAGGCCTGCAGAGAGGAAAACGCACACAGTGCTCCCTGGCCAGCGGGAAACGCACAGGGAGGTGGATGCACAGCTTCCAAGTGTCCATCACGGTGGCGCCTGCACCCCACATTTCAGTGCTGTGTTTGGGATGAAGGCAATACTCACCCAAAACTCTGCAGTATTCTAAGAGAAGAGGTTCCCTTCCTCCCCACCCTTTTTTTTTTTTTTTTAAATGGAAAGCAACAGTGTGCTTGGAGGCCTGACATGATCCAAGCAAATGCTTGATCCAGGTGAAGTTAGCTTGAGTTTCCATCCGATGGATGGGATGGGATGGCTGCCCTAAGGGATCACTGATGACCCACCACACTCAGTTCTCTTGAAGCTACTTAAAGCTAAAGTGATCTGGTCATTCTGGCCTGGCACAAGTGAAAGAGGAAGCAGAACTCTGTATTAAAAATGCAGCTGTACTTTACCAAGCCACAGCTCTAGCCAGAGAGCATTCACACCCTTGCCAGCCGACCCATCGCTCCTCACGGAGGCTGCACATGAAGGGGAAATGAAACCCCGTCTCATATTAGTTGTGCTCAGAGCCTCGTCCCAGGTGTTCCAGCAGTCCTGAGCTCCAGCATCTCCTCAGCAAAAGCACAGATGGGGACCACTCTGGTTTAGCCTCTGCCCCATCAGGGGGATGTTTTATGAAATCAAAAGGCAGAGGCTCTTAACAAAAGTAGTGTGGCACTCACTGCCACTGACAACAGAGCCTAACTTGCCAAGCTGGGTTCAGACAATAGCAGACTGCAGAGTGAGCTAACGAAGCTTGTCTCCATTTGTGTCCCCGGTCCATAGCTCACCCCTCCAGATCCCATCTGTGCTTCCTTGCTGGGCTGGGGAGATCAGGGCCACCTGCCTTGATAACCAAACCCCTCCTGCTTTTCCTTTGGGAAAAGCACCCGGCTGAGTCACTCTTGCTTCTAGGAGCATAACTGCCTTGAAGATTCTACCCTTCTTTAATTCAGTTAACCAACAAGGTGCAGCACGATACGACAAATTTAGTTTCCCTAGACAAGCAGTATTTCTTCCATTACTGAAAACTAGCAGTTCTGAAAGGGTATGAACTCATGTAAGATATCTTACATGAGAAAAACCAAACTCTCCCTTGTGGACAGGTTTCAGGCACCTTTTCCAAGGTCTCCTCCACACCTCTGCTCCCCTGTAGCACAGGACAGACCCAGCATGGTCGTTATGCAGGCAGAAGAAAGCTGCCACTGATTAACAAAAACTACACCTCTGTCTTTTCTTTCCTGATCACAGAGGCATGATATGCAGCTGCCTTCCATGGTGCCAAGAGGTGTCATTCTTAGTAGCTGAATAAATGATCCCCAAGAAGACAGAGTGAACAAGAACAAGTAGGAAACGATCAAAGAATGATGCTTTTTCCTCTCTGCCTTTCTGCAGGGAGAGCAAACACTTCCATTAACCAACACAACTCTTTTACACTAGCCAATATGGCAAAAAATCCCAGACACTTGGGGAAAGAAGATGACAGCAGCAGCAAGGAGGGGAAATAGCCATCTTTTTCAGCAGGTTGCATCAGTCCCCACCTAAGCTGCAGCAGTCCCTTCACGTTAACCCGTTCCTCCAGTCTTTTCTACCCAAAAAGGCGCAAACCCTCCCCTTGCCGGATCCAGGGGATCCTCCAACAGGGCTGCCTGGCAGCTGGGAAAGCAATCTGACAAGGAAAAGCACATCAGACACCCACAGGATTCAGCACGCGATGACACACTGGTCCCAGGGGTCGCTGTCCTGCAGACAACCTGGCACGCAGGCATAAGCCAACAGAGGACAAGGCTACAAAGTCCCTGTGCTGCTCTTCAAACCCAAACCAGCCCCATCTCAACGCACAGACTTGGAAGTTTTTTATTTCTTTCTTTCTGGTGGCAGAGATGTTCAGTGCTGCTCCCCACAACTCAGAATATAATAGACTCAACTCATCCAACAGAGAGAAGAGGAGGCAGTACAAGGAAGCCTGTGCACGAGGGGTACTCCAGGTAATTCCTTAAGTCACCACCCCAAAGTGAAGTTATCCACAAAAAAGCATCTTGGCTTGCTCAGATTATGCTCTTTTCTCCCACAGAGCAAGAAGAAATCTTGACTTGACAGGAACAGCAATTTGCATGTGATGGTTAATACCACCACCAAGGTGGCACCATGGCCATCTGCAGTACAGCATTTTCCTTTCCTGTTTTGGACAAGAAACCAACCTTTTACTTGCCCTGTTGCTGTCTCTTAATTTAACCTCATTCAGTTTGTTGAGCTGCCAGTCAGCGTGCTGTAACATTGCTGATCCAATGCTGCTGTGAAAATTTCTATCATAGCTCCTTCCTTTGAGCAGGGACCGTGATCTATAAGCCTAACAGCAAACGGCCACGGTTTCGAGATCAGCCATCAAACGGGAGAACAGGGAAATCACAGCTCACCGTCCTGCAGCAATCTCTAAGCAGGAAATCAAAGCACCAGCTTTTCTGTCCTAGAGAACACAAGACTTGGGTTCAGGGGCACAACTGGATGCAGGATGCACAAGTCACCCGCCAGCTGAACTAAGGGACAGCCTCTGCTCTCAGATGTACCTGTGCAGTTCACCCTGACGCCCAACTGCATCTCAAGTTTTATCTCCAAAATCATTCAGTCCTCTCTTCTTCCCATCCATAAACGGCCAGGCAGCCTAAGGCAGCAGCAAAGGGCAGAACTTCAATTGAGGCACCAAAGGAGGCAGCTGCTGGGGGCAGGGAGCAGCTGGAGCACACCTCGCCTGCCACAGTGCTGCTCCCCCTGGCAGCTCAGCATCAGGGGGCTGAAGAGTCTGAAGAGCCCTTGCTGAAACGACTGATCAAGCAGGTTCTCAGGACCTGCTCCCTCGAACACCTCCGTGAGAGCAGCAGCTGTCCTGAGAAGCCAAGATGCTCACCGTGGGGTAAGTCAAGCCTGTTGGGTCAGCAGGGGGGACTACTACGGAGCAGCAGAGCCCACCCTTACTGCAGGGCAAGAAACCATCCCTGAGCCACCCGCTATTATGGTTCTATTTGTTGATTAGCCACAGTGTTTGCAGAGAAGGCAGTGAAGCAGGACAGGATTTATTGCCCAGCCCCATGCCTTAGGGCCCTGAGGCAGTGCAGAGGCAGATACACCCCGCGAGCCCCCCGGTACACACAGGCTGCCCCGGGGAGGGAAGCAGGCGAGAGGCCGGACAGCAGTGCCGGAGCAGCTCTGCGGGTCAGGGCCTGCTATGAGCACGCAAACTCCGTCCTTCACAGACCAGCACCACCCACCCCAGGTGGCTTGCTCTCTGCAGAGACGGAAAGCAGGTTTTCAGTGTGGAATCAAAGCAAGCTGCCCTGGGAATCCCCCACTTTGAAGCTACATTTATCCCCCAAACAGCTGGAAAAGCAGCACAAGGGAAATTCAGCCCCATCCTCGTCCCAGGAGGCTCAGCCTGTACTCTCACACACTGCCTGATGCTCCATCCACAACACCCAGTCCACAGTGCCAGGCCTGGGCTAAGCAGCCCCACAAGTCTGACCCACCCGGCATGAGAAGAACAAGCCTCCTCCAAACCCTGTTTTCAAGCCCCTCACAGATCCCCCCTCCAGCGGGGAGCACACGCCACCCGGCCTCAGCACACGAGCCCGTCCTGGCTGCGTCAGCCCTGCTCCCCCTGCCAGGGAGCAACCCACCCTCCTTGGGCTGTGCAGCTTCTCGCCCTTCACAGCCTCCAGGAATTCAAGACCCCTTCTCTGCAGCCAGTCTCCAGAGGTGCTCTGCAACGCGACGGACTCCACCATAGGTACACCACCCTTACACGTACATTCTTGTGTGACAACCCAGCTGGTTTGACCCCCAGGAGCTGTGAAACTCACCTCACTGCGAGCAGTCTGAGGCCAGACCTCACACCCCAGTCTCTACCATTAACAGCAGTTCGACACAAAGCAAATGCAGATCTAACAGGGAAACCGTGCGGAGACCCGTGCCCTTGCAGGAGCAAAGGGCCACGGCGTTCTTTTGGTCTCACAGCTCCAAGCACACAACTCTTAGAGCTAAATACCTTCCACAAAATAAAGGGAGAACTTGCAAAAGTGATCCAGGCTCATTTCTGCTCAAACATCTAAGAAAATTATCTTTTACTGAGGGGTCCCCCAGCTAAAACTGTCCCCATACCAGGCTCCTCTTGCTGCGCTGTGATGAAATACGTTGCTTTCTCAATCATCTAGTGATATGCAAATGTCACATATAAAAATCAAGTCACAGGTTACTTGTCAGTCATTTTTGTTGGAAAATAGCCCCACAGACACTTACCATCTTTGCCCTGATGGTTGCAGGGATGACGCTCTGATTGGAGAGGTGGAGAGTTCGGGAAGCATCTTGCAGAACCTCGATACTGCCAAAATTTATCTTATGTGGATGAACACAGACAACTGGTCCTTCTCCAGTGCTCGCTAAATGGATTTTCTGCTCCAGAAAGCACGTAGGAAAGATCAAAAAATAATTAGTTACATCATTCAAGCAGTATTTTTTTCTTTTGACAGTCTGAGACCCAAAAGTTCTGTTCTTGCAGAACTAGCACAGACTATTGAAGAATGAATGTTAAACCGCCTTCTGACATCATTAAAACCATTAAGGAGGCTTTCGGGAGGTTTAGCAGCACCACTTCTAATCATTTTATTAGAAGTTTGAATCCCTGTAGCTACTTTCAAAATGTCAGCCTTTCTTTCTGCTTAAAGCTTAAGGTTCCCAGGAATCTTCTGACATCCTCTCTCACGGTCAGAAATGCTGTGTCAGACACTTAGATCACCACTTGGGATGACACCATCCCTCCTCTGCTCTAGGTGAAGGGAAGTGGCTGCAAGTTTACTTGAGATGACAAGACCTCCTGACCTTGCTAACGTATAGGAACCAGTGAAGTAGGACGTTTAATTTTAACGTTAACCATCACTTGTATTTCACTAGCTTTTCTTTTTCCTGTATCTTACTGCAATGTATATCATTTCATTTATACTCTTTTCCTAACTACCCTCTGACATCTTACCCACTTGTAAAACATCCCAATACCTGTAACTCCTTGCCTAGTGGAGATTGAACAGGCCTTGGACATTCTGGTAAACTCCCCGAGTACATCCCTGATAACAGGGACCTAAAAACACGAGACAAGCGCCTGAAAAGATGCCAGTGTCAAGGAAAGCGACTGGGAGCCGGTTTAAACCAACCCCCTCAGAACAAACAGGAGCCGAAGGACGGGTGAGGTCACTCCACGACCATGCGTGGACACGGGGAACCTAAAGTTCAGCCAGCGGGCAGTGTGAGGAAGAGGATGTGGACCACCAAGGGGGGAGAAGGCCCTCAGTCTGTCTTTACTACGCATGCTCAGACTATGTAAATGAATTCTGAGAACCCATGAGCATAAGACTGCCTTTTCTAAGGAATCTGATACATACGTGTGCTTTTTGTCGATATTAGTCGGAGTTTTGTCAGCAGGTGCAGCACTTGTGGTGGAGCGATCCCCAGTGCTGCACAGAGCTGCGAATGCAGGATCTCTGCTGAGCAGCTGCTCAGTTCTGACTGCTGAGTGAAGCTCTTTGTTTCACAGGCCTTAGCTGTCGCGTATGCCACAAACCCCTTCTTTCCTTGTCCACACCAGCATTTCTTTTAAGTTCTCATTTTCCCGGAAAGGATCCCCAGAATTAGCAACCCTACCTGAGGCTTCACACCCCACCAAGAGGAGTCACACAAAGGCCCACGTGCCCTGGAACTCACCAGAGGGGATCCTCCACTCCCAAACACTGCAACACGAGCAACAGTGTCCTGCTCTCCCGTCACCTGGGCTTCCAGCGTCAACGGGACCTCCACCGCGCTGCAAGGCTGGACAATCCCCCATGGCATGGGGCTGGAGTACCACACAGAAGCGTCCTCCTTGTTTTCCTGTAAGGGACAGAGTCAAACGCATCACACAGGAGTGACCTTGGAGGAATCTTTGAACTCCTCAACATCTACCCCAATGGCAATTCACACACATTTTCAAAAATCCCGAGGAGAAAGCAGGAAGGTACAAAGTAAGATTCAAGACTTGTATGGGCTTAGCATCCTCAGGGGGTCCAAAAGATGCTCCACCCACAAACACCCACTCCTGTGCTGGCAGCCTCCTTGCAGCAGCTTTTCACAAGCCTCTACGTTCTCCTGCATGAAAGCACCCCAAAGACTACAATATAAACTGCTTCCTAAAATCTTTCAACGGCTTCCTAAAGTTTATATTCAGTAGGTTCCTATTTAACTGTGTCCTGAAGTTTATATTCCGGTAGCTTCCTTCTCTCAGCAACCTTTAGGTCTGAATATAAACCAGCAAGGTCTTAGCCAAAACCCCCTTTTTTCCCTAATGAACCCTTGATAACATCGGAGGGCAGGAGGCAGATGCAATGCCAAATCTGAGGAAGAACCCTGTAGCAGCCTGGAAGATCGCTGTCGTTCACAAGGGTCAGCATCTGATGGTAAGGGTATTTTAGAGAGCACCGTCCGAACATCACGACGGGGTTGAGCACTCGCAGCACAGGAACCATGCATCTAGGCAAACAGATGACCAAAAGGGAATTAGAGATACGAGAGAGCGTGGGGTTTACTTACTCCCCAAGTAGCACGAAACAGAGCACAACACATTTGTCAAATAGACACTTAATACCCCTACAGCGATAAATGGCCTTTAACTGCTTCTGGCTCCACCACCCCCTGTAAAGCTGGGGCAAACCCCGGGACTCGGCCTCGCAGAGGCTGCCAGGTGCCCAGGCGGCGCACAGTGCCCTGTGCCAGAGCTGCCTGAGCAGCTCTGCCCGCTCTTTGTCCCAGGAGGCTTGCAAGGACCCTCCCAACAGTCCCGGCAAGGCGTGAGCTCTGGGGCAGCCTTCCCCCCGAGTGCTCACCAAGGCTCAATGGGCACAAGACCCCAGTGTCTCAGTGAGAACGACTCCCTCCTCTCCCACACTGCTGTTGACCTGCCTGAGAACTCAGCCCTTTGCCCAGCGATAGAGGGCACAAGCCACCCCCTGGCTCCGGCAGCGGGGGATCACCCTCTCCCAGCTCCTGCACCCCACGGCTCCATGCACTCTTGTTTTACAAAACCAGCCCAGGCACTGACTGGATGACTCTGCCTGGAGAGGGAACAGCACGGTGAACTCACCCCTCTTGGAATTAAACCGACACCCACCGCAGCACAACAGGGGTGAATCTGTCTGCAGCAAGAACATCTTTTGGCTTAAGTCTGAGAACATTAATGCTCAAAAGAACCAGAGGGAAGCAGAGAAACCTGAGCTCACCTTCCACATCAAGGACTATTTTCCCCTTCATAAGATCATGCTTTGAGCTTCCCCTCACCCGTCCTCCCATAAGCCCCTTTCCCATTCCCACGCCCCTTCGTTAACTGACCCAGACACCAGCTCTCAGCAGGCTGCTCGCTGCCGCCCAAATGGATGTTGTATTTTGGCTGCAGCCCAGCACAAGTCCACCACTTACAGGAAGGAAGAAAGATGGCCCCTTGGAAACTTATTACACCTCAAGGCACCAAAGAACAGGCCATGAGTATCATTATTGTTCCCCTTAGAAAAAGGCTCAGGGCCACGCCTGTCCCTGGAGCACGGGTGCTGCTTTCAGAACACTGCCCATCTCACATCTAGCTGGGCAGAACTACCTCATTAAGCAACACTCGTCACTGGAAGGTGGAGCCAGCAAACCACGTGCAAGGCAGAGTGGTGCTGGATGCACGAGGAGAGACGACGAGCTGCAAGGAAAGCGCCGATACCTGGCTGTGAGGAGCAGCGCCGACACCGCCCTGCCTACACCGCACACATCCACCACCAGAGCCAGCTCGTATCTCTGCAGAGTGTTGGAACACAGGGTGACCTGGTGGAAGAGAAAAGCATCGAGCACTTCATCACTCCCAAAAGCCAGCGTCCACCTGTGCTGTCCTCCGGTTCTCGTTCCACGGGCAGGAAAGGGAGGATTTTGCCCTGACTCTTCTGCTGGTCCATGTGCAGAGCACACTTGCTGGGAGTAACAAAAGTCTTCTGACAAATCTGCTGTGTTAAATACACCTTGCGCTTACCAGGGCATATGTTAAGCACGATTACATTAATGCTCTACTCCCCACCGTATTAAAATTGAAGAGACTGATTTTTAATCTGAACTACAACAGCATAAATGCAGAGGCAATCTGTTGACTTCAACAGAGTCAGCTTTACACTGGGAAGCTGAGGGCAAAAAATGCAGCCCAGCAGGTGCTGTGCAGTTCCTGGCTGCCTGAACTTTTTCAGTCCCCACTGGAGATCGCCGCAGTGAATGCAACTCCTTCTGCTCATCAGGAGACGAGAAATAAGACCGGGAAGAAAAGCAAAGTGCTTTATACAATGACATCTCTCTTTTTAACAGCCACCTTCTGTCCTCATCCTTCCTCTGCCCACTTTAAATCAAAGAAACTGCTCCAAGCAGCTCTCAAAAACAGATGAATGGCTTCTGCACTTGACCATATGGGACATGATCAACAGCTTACGATTCTGGAAACAAAGCAGTGGTCCTTCAGAAAAGCCCCAGAGTAACCCAGCTAGCAAAAGCCCAACACCAGTGCAGATATCCTCCCCGCGTTATGCTCAGAGCTAGCGGTGCTAAAGCTCTCCCATCCCTCAGTGAAGCTCCAGCTCCACCTGCCGAGCACGGACGGACGGACTCGTCCCATACCTGGATATCCAGGAATCCCAGGGGGCGGATGGTCCCTCTGCGGGGCTTTATGCTGAATTCTCTTGGCCTGAGGTGACGTTGGGCTCCCTTTCTCTTCAGTAGGTGACTGTTGTCTGTCATGTGAGCAAAACTGCTGACACTGGGCTCTCCCAGGCCATCCCCAGGAACACGAAGTTTGAAGGTCAGGGGCACCAAGGAGGTGTTAGTGAGGCGACACGACAAGGTGTGAGGAAAGCCTAGAAAAATGACACAAATATGAATTTATGCACCAACTGTCCCATGATTCCTTGTGTGAATAGCCTGTTGTGATAAAACCGGGCTTGGAGTTTGCTCTTTTCAATCTGAAGTACAGCTAACTGGGAAGCTACACAAGGAATTAATTGTCACTTAAGTTCCCTTTTACGCTGATCACAGAGACTGTTCCTTGGAAATGCCCAATCTTGGCAATGCTGAACACCACAAGTTTCTCTCTAACTGTGAGGAGCTCTCACCTACCCCCAAACCAGCACCAGTTAGTTCTTTCTTACGAGTGTCCATCCAGACAGACCATTTATTCTGAAAATTCAATCCGTAAAATGCCCCGTGAACTCTGCGAACACTCCCACAGTTTCAGTATATAGAAGCAGGGTATTGTCATCGAGGAGAAGCTACAGTAAAAGAGAGGAAGGGTGAAACTGGGAACAACAGCATGATGCAAAGCACTCTTGGAGGCAAACCTGATGCTTGCTCAGAAATCAGCAGGAGCCATGTGCCACCTCACCCAACAAACGGGACACGGCTTCCACACCGGACACTGACCCACAGAGGTCGGCATCACTTGAGCTGTGATACTCGCCTTCCCTCATGGAAAACCAGTGACACAGCCACACCTGGGGGTGTCCTGTAGAGACAGGACATCAGCCCACAGCCTGCTCTGGCCTGGACAGCTGGCTCAGCTGGCCAGCTCTGCGAGAAGGAGACATCTCCTGTGACCTGCTCACCAGGCGTTGACTGAATACAGACGGGGAGGAAAACCAGCTGCAGCCACAGCAGCCGTGTCCAACAACAGTGACCACTGCCCGCCTCCAGCAGTTACTCCAGCAGGGAGGCAGAAGGGGCACAAAAAGGACAAACAGACTTCACAGTTCCAAATGAGACCAAAGTCACCAGATGCAGGCCAACAGTCAGCAGCACAGTTACAAGAAGCAAAAATACAATAGCTGCTTTGAGCTGAAAAGGCCTTATTAATGGAATGAGATCAAGGAGGATGAATCTCCTGTTACGTAGCCACACTTCTGCCTGGTGTGTTTCCTGTTGTTTTATCCAAAAGGAAGTAAGTGGCAGAGTGGTGATGGGGGGAGGGGACAAGCGGCTCAGGAAAGGTAATGAGTCTTCTTAAAACGTCCAGGAACAGCATGAAAACACAGAGGCATCCTGGGCACAGTTGATTTCACATTTAAACTATACATTATCTCAGTAAGAAACCTTTGTGAGCCCGAGATGGAGAACCAGAAGCTGCATTTCAGCAGTCTGGATGCTCAGCCACAGGCTCTGTCAGCAGAGCTGGGCCTGTGGTGGGGAAGGAGGAGCCCATGGTCCGAGGACATCAGTGCCTGATTCAGAGCTACTGCTTGGGCATGTTACCTGGTGGGTGACAACGAGGGGCCCTCACAGCATTAGTTAACATCTGGCACTAAAGGTCAGGAGGGTAACTGGTATCCTTGCCTTGCAACAGGAACATTTACCCAGAGCAGCTACAGGCCAGTACGCGGCTTAATCTCCCTTCTGCTGCAGTCCTGCCCCTGGGCCCTCTGGGACAAGGACTTTCACGGTCATTCTGCTGCCAAGGATTGGGAGGCCTGGGGCTGAACAGACTCGTAGGACACTGGAAAATACCGACGGTATCCCTTGGTCCTATTTGATCTCACGATGGCACAAGACTGCCTAAGCAACCAGCAGCCCTGGCTTTAACACTCTGAAGGCTGCTATGGAGGAGCACAAGTGACAGATGGTCTTATGTTGAAGTGCTCTGTTTTGGTAATTCCCAGAGCTCTCAACCCGTGGCCCAAGACCAGGGCACACTCACCGAAGGAGACATCACCGAAGTGGAGGGCAGGGACGTTGAAATGGAAAGTCGGTCCAATGACACAGCCCCTGCAAGGAAAAAGACAGGCAGAGGAGGCGTTGGCTAGGTTGGAGACAATGGCTTTCCTTACCGCTCGGGTGGGTAAAAGCTGCTCTCAGAACCGCGGTGGGTTTCAAATCAACCTGTCAGCCCTGAGCTCAGCACAGCACCCATGGGGACAGCAGGCAGACAAAGCAAAGTGGTCAGCAGCCGACAGCTGCTGCTGAGGCTCAGAGCACCGCGGCAGGGTGTGCCCCCAGGCTGCTGCCGGCCCCAGGAAGGTCCCGGAACAAGTGATGGCTCTGTGCCTCGGTTTCCCTACCCGGCAAGTGATGGACAGAGGTGTCCACACAGAAGGGGACTCACTGTAACGAGCCTTCCCAGACACAGGTTCCCTGCTTTGGCATTTCTTAGCTGGAACTGCTGTTTCCATGGAGTATATGAACACCTTTCTCAGAAGACCTGGTCCACACAACCATTACACATGCAGGACTTTGAGACATGAACCCAGGGGAGCCCCCGACACAGTTTACACAGCAGACACCTGAATCTTGGAGGGAAGTATCAGCTTGTCACCCGTGCACCAGCTGACACATCCAAGAGCAACACGTCTTGAACCACTGAACACGGGTGTCCTGAACCCACCGCACCCATCCTTCAACACAGCAGACAGCTCCAAACTCCAAAACTCACTCACATCCACTGAAATCAGTACTTGAAGCTGCACAACATTCATTCATTGATTTCATGGTTGATGACAATCAATGCCAGCTCTGCCTCAGTTAAAAATCAAGGGCCACAGTGAAGAGTGCCTCCTCATTTTATTCACAGCACTGCCACTCTCATCATCCACAGGTTCTGCACATGAACAGACCCAAGAGTCCCACAGCTAGTCCCAACCCATGAGCATAAGAGGTGATGCTGAGGCTGCCGCTACCCATTTGGGATGGATTATTAACAGAGGATTTTAAGAACACTGCCTCTGGCTGCAGCCACCCAGGCTGGCCCATCCCCAAAGCCTTGCTGTGTGTTTGGGGGGGTGGTCCAGACCAGCTACCGCCCAAAGCTGATGCCATCCCGCTGTCTGCTGTGGCCCAAGGGGGAGCGAGCTCCTGTAGGAAGGAGTCACTCCAGCTCCTGAGTTCCCGGACTGGGCAGCAAGCATCTCCACGCCTTTCCTGAACAGCCTCCAGTCAAACTGGTTTCCAGCATGGGTAGCCACTTAAAGCCCCGGGGCCCTCACACAGACACATGGGAGAACCTGCTGCTGGCAAATGCTGTGCAAACAGCGTCCTGCAAAGTCACAGGGCCACCCGCCCCAACCATGAAGGCAAAGCTGCTTCCCAGAGGAACCCAAGACTTTTCGAGTTAAACTGGCTACTGAGAGCACAGGAGGCATGGCTGCAGGTGGCAGCAGGTCGAGGGAGCTGATCCTGCCCCTCTCCTCCACTCGGGTGAGACCCCCCTGCAGGGCTGTGTCCAGCTCTGGGCTCCTCAGCACATGGAAGACGTGGACCTGTTGGAGCGGGGCCAGAGGAGGCCACAAGAATGATCAGAGGGGTGGAACACCTTTCCTGTGGGGACAGGCCCAGAGACTTGGGGTGGTTCAGCCTGGAGAAGGCTCCGGGGAGACCTTACTGTGGCCTTTCAATAACTCAGGGAGGCTTGTAAGATTGATTTTGACTGGCTTTTTAGTAGGGCCTGTCATGACAGGACAAGGGGTAATGGTTTCAAACCTAACGAGGGAAGATTCAGACTAGATATAAAGGAAGAAATTTCTTACAGTGAGGGGGGTGAGACACTGGCACAGGTTGCCCAGAGTGGTGGTAGATGCCCCATCCCTGGAAACATCCAAGGTCAGGCTGGACGGGGCTCTGAGCAGCCGGATCGAGTTGATGATGTCCCTGCACACTGCAGAGGGGTTGGACTAAATGACCTTTAAAGGTCCCTTCCAACACAAACTACTCTACAATTCTACCGTTTCCTCTCGCAGACAATTACACTTCATTTGCTGCTGCAACCGCAAGGTTCAGACTGGAGTCAAGGTTAAAAAGCCTTGGCTCTTAGTGTGAGGATGCTAGGATCCAAGCCAAGACTAAGACCTTAGACAACACCTTTTGTTCTCTGTTTCATCCTAAAATGAGGTAGGCGGGAGATGATTACCCAGAGACAGCTACAGATGTGCCCACCAAGCTCCTATAACCCTCCTCACCTGATCGTCAAGGTCACAGGCTCAGGTGATCCAGTCACACTGAACCTGAACTCTTCTGTGAACTCCCCCAGGCTGGTGGAACTGAAGGAGATCCGGATGACTTGGAGCCCCTCCGGCAAAATGATGCCCTCCTGGGGGAGGAAGGTGAAGCAGGAGCCCAGAGCTGTAGCTGGAGGGACCAAGTTGAAGACAGCATCGATGGCTCCTTTGTTAAACAGGACCACCTGCAGCAGCAAGAAAGCAAAAGGGAAATTCATAAGGAATCTTCCTTTCTTACAGAAGGCTGATTTCTTTTCTGATTAAGCAAATAACATCTGTAAACAACAGAAGATGCTGTGTGCTGCTGCTTGGCAGAAGCCAAAGCAAATCCAACAGGACGAGTTCTGCCTGTGGGTTTTTCATGCAAAGCAGGGACAGCTTCATAGAAACAGTCGCTCGGGGTTTATTCCACTGACACAGAGCAGCCCACTTCGACCTGCAGCGCAGAGGAGCCGCTCAGCATCACCAAGGCGATTCAGATCTGTCCCTAAGAGCAGCGAAGGGCACTTGCAGCTTTACTAGTGAATCATCACACAACTGACTCTGCTCCCGATGAGTCCAATCCTGCTGAGGGCAGAACACATTGCAGCCAACAACTTACTGCAAGTAGAAGACACCTCAGGGCAGCACTATCACCAACTTCAGAAGCACTCCCCAACTCCGCTATGCCATGTAATTTAGGTTTCTTATGTTTTCTTTAACGGGATAATTTCTTAGTCTTTGTTCAGACAGACATGTCAGGAAAGGATGAGCATGCGGTGCACAGCAGCTCCATCTACTCCAAAGATTTTCTCTTCCTTAAAGCCACACAGCCACCACCTAAGACTTTACCATTATCAGAATAAACTGCAAATTTAGAACTAAGCCGTATTTTGTTGAACACTTGAGGGATCTGCTGCCTCGAACAAGTGACACAATCCCATGGCACTTGCTGAGATTCAGCTCTTCTCACGTTGGGCCAGCAATGCCCACAGCTGCTGCGAGTACCAGCACGCTGTCAGCCACCAACAAACCCACCCGTGGCAAGGCAGCAAAGGTTCTGATTGCTGCAGGGTGAAGTCCTGCCATTTCCAGGGACTTAACTATCTGATTTGCATTTCTTTTCCCTAAGTTTTGTCCTTGTAAAACCTGGTAGAAAAGCTGAGACAGAAGCAGAAAGATGTCCCTTATTTTTTAATTTTGTAGCTGCGGTTAAAAATATTCATGTATTTAAGCTCTGCAAGGGTAACCTGAAAACTACTCCCTCCTCTCATGTCTTTTACACCTCAGTTACAAATTGCACTCAGGGATCCTGCGCTGAGCTGAGGTTTACCTCCAGTCTAGCTGCTCAGCACAGCACTAATAGTGTCACCTATTTAGTCACATTTTCTCAAGTAATGAAAATAATACAACGATAGAGAAACAATAAAGTATCACCATTAAAAATGCATAGAGAGCACAATACTTTGGTAATAAAACACTTAATGTGTCCTTCCCTGCCACAGTCAAGCTTTTGCAAGTATTGTCCCCTTTTCTACCTCTTTCACTTGCCCTATCTTCTTTTTTTGCAGAAGACTTGACGTCATTGGCGGGGGGAGGCAAATATGTAGCAAATGCCTTTGCTTCACTTCCAGAAATGCTTTGCGCTTCATAGAGATGCAGCAAATCTGAAGAGTGGCGAGAGACTGGTCAGCAAGGGGAAGCACTCCCCGTTCCGCGGCCAGCCCAGCTCTGAGCCGAGGCCCTATGCCTTTCCCTTTGATGCGCAGGGGCAGCCTGGTCTCGCGGCCTGGGGAGAGATTTCCACTTCAGTACAGCAATTCCCTCTGTCAGTCTGGACTGTCCCGGCTGCCTCAGTGCTACTCCCTGACTCTGGGCTGGATGGGACCAGCTCTAGGTGCTCCAGGAGGAGATACAGGAATACAGGACTCTTCCCTGCCCTCAGGAGATATGCCTTAGGGGTGGCCTCTAATTTCTAACCAACCCCTCGGGCTGGTTTCTCATTTAGCCATCAGTTTGCACCCTGAAAAAGTGATGCTGAGTTGAAAACACAATCACTGAATTTCTTCCCATGTGCTTAGGTGAGCTCTGAAATCCATTCAGCGAAGGCACAAAGCTCATGAAACAGAGCTGAAGATAAAAATACCCCATCTGTACCGATGCAATCGGAGACAAGAGCACAGAGGACGAGACGTAGGAGCCCAGGCAAGGCAAAGCTCCCTGCTACCGGCAGTGTGCATGTCTGAGCGCTGCCTAGAGCAGGCAGAGCATCTCAGCACTGCCCGTGCCTGACACACCTCCGTGCCCGGGACTCCAGGGCTGTCCTCCTGCAGCGGCATCTAAATAAGAGAGGGCTTTGTGATCTCCAGAGAGCGGCACTCGCCTGTGCCCACCATGATACCGAGAGCTCAGCTTTGTAAAGACACCTTACCTGAAGCATGCTGAACCAGTATGGAAAACCTCACTGCTGAGGTCAGAGAAGCCATGAACATACTGCTAATACACACAGCCCTTCCTGCAAAAGGAACCGAGACAGAGTTCAGCTATAAGCCTTGCAAAGATGCTCATTTTCTTCTGTAAGCCTGCTAAGATGACAGGGTGGGATCCTGGAGAAGCCTCAAGTGCCTGAACCCTAGCTCCAATTTGGGCTTGGGTCTCCCTGCCACCCCATCCTACTCTGCACAGAAAGTGAGTAGCACAAGGGGAAAAAAAGAAAGGCCCAGAAGTTGTATCTAACCTTCAGTGTAGCTTTCATGCAAAAATATTCCTGTCTTTCTATGTAATGATCACCATTAATTAAAGATTAGGGACTGAAGGTTGATTTATCAGCTGCATAGTTATTCCAGAATGTCGAAAACTACTTCCTATTGCAAAGAGCAGCCCAGGTGGGACAACACAGTGACTAGGTCACAACTTGAAAAAACTCTCCTGGGAACAGCCCTTTCAGTGATTGCTGACCTTCTGATCTTGCAACCATGGAATGAGGATGTTTGATAATGTCCAAGCCAGAAAGGAAGAGCAAGGGAGCTTTTGCTGAATTCAACATTTTTTTAAGTGGATCCAGACCAAGCCCAGCTGACTCCAGAGATGAGAGTTAGGTTGCACAGCTCAGGCATTAATTGGAGGGCTGTGTATTTCTATTTCACAGACACCCTAAAAGAGACAGTATTGGGTGCCATCTGTCAAAAGATCACTCCACCTCGCAGCACATGTGGCTTAATGTTCTTTCTCTTTCTGAACACACATCATTTGCCCAGCTCTGTTTCCTACAGCTCTCAGACCAGCTCAAGGCTTTCATGCAAGTAGTTTTCCTATTTCTCTGCAACAAAAACACTCTCCCAGCACAACCCCTGAAGACGCCTGCAGCAAAGCGACACACGCCCCCAACACCAGAGCAAAACTCCCAGAGCCAGGAGCACAGCACTGAGCAAGGAATCCCTCGGGAGCAACTTTTTAATGCAATCCTTTCCTTCCACAGCTCTAGCAACTGCAGCTGGCGGGCAGGAAGACGCTTTGTTAACACGAGCCCTGGGTAACGACTGTAGGTGGCCTTTGCCAAGTAAAGCCTACGCAATTACAGTATAAGTAAGAAGCTGTTTCATGACACTTGTATCCCTCAGCTTAGGGCAGTAAGGAGAGCAACAAAGCAGCTGGGTTTGTGACTTCAGCACACTCCAGAACAGGCGCCTGGCTGCCGGAGGACCACGGGCCTCGCACCTCTTCCTCTTAGATGGGGAAAAAACATCATGTTCCCGGGATGGAAGCCTGACAGCGCTCTCCCAGTCTTGAAAAACACCTTAAGCAACACCATGCAGAGACAGAGAGGAAGGACGAGGTCACCCGAACTCCGCACCCTGCTGCAGGCACTCCCTGCCCCGTGCTAGCACAGCAAAGCCATCACCTCTCCCAGGGCACAGAAGATGCAGCTCAGGAAGGCCAGAGATAACTGCTCCCAGCAAAAGACGCAATGGCACTTCTGTAAGACAGGATGAGCATAAAGCTTGCCTCACAGACTGCTCAGACTCCGATTTCCAGGGAGGGCGCTCACCCCGCCGAGCACAGCAAGCCCTGCGCAACGTACCCGGAGGCACCACAGGCTCAGAGCCACAAGGTGACAATTCCCACGTGCTGGCCAGAGGTGTCCTTCTGCAGACAGCCCATGCTCAGCCACCCAAGGTCTGGCAGTGTTGGTGCAGCGAGAGGGGATAGAGGCTCTGGAAGCACATTTGTAACTCAACTCCTACCGCCTCAGGAGTCTGATGATGCATCCGTGTAATAAAGACTCCTCCTGGAGGGAAATGGTCTACAGGGACTTGCTGCTCGCCCACGGAAGCTGCTTAGCTCTGTAGCTCTTTGGACTCTACAGGCACCTGGCAGCAGAGCAAACGCTGGCAAACCCACGGCATGAGAACTTACCCCTTCTCTGCCTCGGCTGTTCTGCGATCACTGATCCAGCCTTGTAAACACACATCCTGAGGGCTGGCCTTGGACAGGAGACCGCCTGGAAAACGCAGGGGCAGCGAGCACGTGCCAGCACCCTGATGACCACTGACCCTTCCTACCAGCCCCACGAGAACCGAGGGGGCTGCAAGACCACTTGCGCCTCCACTGTGGGTAACAGAAGCAGGAGAAAGGAGCCGTACCTGAGATGTCTCAGTAGACCGTTTGTTGATAGACTCTGGCCTCTCGGGGTCTGAAGATCACATTAATTTCAGCTGAAGAATTTGGCCAGATATCTCCCTCCTGAAACAGAAGGAGACAGCAAAACATTTATCTTCAAATGTCACATCTGTTGGTTTTGAACACAGCCCTCTAGCCTTCATTCAGAGCATCACTGAAGAGAAGGGAACAACCGAAAGTTACCAACAAAATTTATGGGAGTTTGGAAGCAGCTGCAAAAAAGCTTTCTAAGTCTCTTAAATTTACTGGCATCTGGTAGAGGCATTTTGTTAAGTTAGGGCCATAACAAAGCAACCAAACTGGCTCATGCTCCAGTAAATCAAGCAGGATTTCTCCAGAGGTACCAGCCAGTTTAAGAAAAAGGTCCCTCTCGCCTCCAAACCTTCCCGTATACCCCTGTAGCAACATGGCTACGTGACGACTTTTACTCAGATCAGGAAGGATTTAACAAATCAAACAGAATTTTCCATTCTTAGCTACGAAGGTGCTGCCTCTTATACCCTTCACCTGTACATGCAAGTAATTATTTAACATACTGCGGTGAGTGGGACACTACGCACCGAGCAGAACGAGCCTTCCTGCCTGGGGATAGAAGAACAGGCTCCTGCCCGCTGGCGGCTGCTTCTGCCCTGAGCCGTGAGCAGCTAGCCAGCACGCAGGCTCCTCCAGCTGACAGATGATCTGGGAAAGGAGTTGAGACACAGATGCACCCTGTTTCTCTCTGCAAGGTGCACACACTCCTCTTTCCCTGAACACAGGCTGCTACCCCACAGGGGACAAAAGAACTGCTGCTTGAAAGGAAATGCTTCGTTACCCACCCTTGCAGGATACTGCTACACGCGTCCGAGCCTTGAGGCACCTCAGGAGCCAGCCACGTGCCTGGGCTACGTGCTCTCTCTAGGATGGCAGTGGAGTCAGAGCATGGAGAGCCACCATGGACAGGTGGACAGACGTAAATCCACGCAGTGCTGTGAACATGGTATTGCAACACTTCTGGCTGAAACGCTTCTGGCCTCAGACAGGCTGCAACTGGCAGGTGGCATAAAATACAGATGGTAGATGTACAGTGGAACAGCACAACCACTCCAGCTGTCATGCCCTGGCTTTGCTACAGCATAAAGCACGGTGATACGGGAGGGCACGGCACACTGGGACTCACAGCCACACAAGTGATCTCTCTGCAAGAGCCCAACCGTAAATACATGCAGAACACATTTCACCTCCCTCAGCCCCTAAATGATGAGAATCTGCTAGATCTCCACCAGTCGGAATAAGAAAAAGCTGGTCTTGAAAAGCCGGACACCACCAACTGCTGGCCAAATCACCTGCTTTGCTTTGCAGAGGGGGAAGGCAATCCATGGAAGGAAATGACTGCTCAAAGCAGTCACAGAAACAAAAGACAGAGCTGACAACAGAAGTACTAAAATGACGCTCTAAGCGCATCCTCTCAGCTCAGGGCACTCAGGAGAATGGCAGTGCCAAAGCTAACATCTGCCCCTTTCCATAAATAACTGAGCCCACAGGGAGCTGTGGGATGGACCATGGCATGGACCACGGCTCCCACTGGAGATGGTGCCTTCCGACAAAAAACAAAGTGCTCTGCAGTAGCCTCTCCTCTGGATGGGGACCAGCTTGGCTCCCCAGCTGAGGTACAGATCTGCAGCAACCAACAACACTGTCACCTCCTGGCCCCACCTCCGGATCAACAACAGTAGCACCTTCGTAACCTGGACATGTTGTCGACCACCTCCATCAGCCCAGAGTTCACACGTGACATTGAGGAGTCACCACCAGGCAAGGACAGGGCAGTAACAAGTCCTCGTCCTCCCTCTCCTCTGGTTGCCCCTTCCAAGGAGTCAGCTCCCACGGGTCTGCAATGGGACTTACAGCTGAGCTGTGGCGGGGAAGATGTAGCAAACAGCAAGGACTTTGTCCCTTGATAGCCACCCGGGCCTCTACCACGGCTGCCTCTGCTGACGCATCATGTGTAGATGCAAAAATAAACCAAATTTCAGATGTGCTCGGAAAGTCAGAGCTGCATATCAGCTTGTTTCCCACAGGCTTGGACAACTGCTCAGAATGTTCTCGGTCACATGGTAATTCCAAAAATCACACCTCCTCTTTTTTGTTATTTTCATCAGCCAGTTAACCCTATACAGGTGGAAGTGACCTGCTGCAGCTTCTACAGACTGCAGCACCCGAAAATACTGGCAGCTAACGGTCCACCGGCACAGCAACGCTTCTGCACAAACCCTGCAAAGCCATCCTGCCCAGAAAGCGTTTCCAAGACTACTCTCCCTCCACCAGCTTCCTGACCTCTGGAAGCACTTATTTCCTCCCATCACCTGTTACAAGGGTTTCATTATTCCGTGGGGTGCTCCCACACACCACGGGTGAGAGGTGGGAAGAAGAGAGCAGCCACTTTTGGCCAGAAGGTCTAAGGCAGCAAGGTCCCATCTCTGGGGGGCCTCTCCAGCAGATTTACATGGCAGTGCCAGAAGGGTGTCTGTCCGAGGTAAGAGTTACAGGGCTGTCACTGGAGAGAAGGCTGTGGAAGCCAGCAGCAGTGGATTTTTAGATTCCACATCTGATAAAGAGGAGAAAATACTTACTACCATCTGATTTAGAGACACGCATATGCCAGAGGGAAAGACAGGCACGAGCAAAACTGAATGTGAAACTGATTGTTCCATAAATAAAGGAATTAATGGAAATCAAAAGGTTGATAATACTGGACAATACAGAAGGGCAGAGACTCATGCGGTAGCCCACTTGGAGTCAGTCCTGGAGCAAACTCTGTTAACATTAACACAGCCTTTCAGGAAAGCTTTCCCCTTGAGACTTGAGGCCAGGCTATGCTTTACACCCATACGTCACTACACGGAGTGCCAGAACTCGGCGCTGTGAGCAGCCGGAGTTCTGGACCTCATCTTAAGGCACTTCAGGAGCTCAAGAGCAAGTTAAGCTACTTGTGGACACAGTCCGACTGTAAAGCAGCAGGAGCCCTGGGACACACTCCCAAAGCAGCTCTGACACACCACAGGGTGCTCTTAATGCTCAGATGATCAGCGCACACTCTCTGCAAGATTCCCACTGCTCTGACACAATCTCTTGGTCACATCATGCTGCTGTCAGCTACAGTGGTGTGAACCTGCAGCTGTGCCAACATTGGTGGCTCTCAGCCTTATATGGGATATAGGAGTAACTGACAAGAGGATTCCCTTCCTTAAAAAAAAAAAAAAAAAAAAAAAAAAAAAAAGGAAGAAGAGGTTGAGATTATCCTAGGATTTACTCCAGGATGAAAAGACATTTTGCATTGCTCGAACAGTGGGCATCCTTCATCTCAGACCAGGGCAAATACTCAGAACCAGGGCTCTGGCTGACTCACTGATATGGGGTTTTGCTTGCATAAACGGAAAAGGCCCCCAAAAATTCTTTACCTATGCACAATGAAACTCAAAAAGTCCATTTAAACCTGCCAGCCTTGTGTCCAGGCTCACAGATGACACTGGAAGGGAGATTCAGCCGTGGTATCCGTCCAGGTTACACAAAGAGATTGGTATGTCTGTGATCACACTTGGGTTGAATTTGGCCTCCTTTCCACAGAGAACCGTTTCATTTCTCAGGTCAGTATGTGAACTGAGAGTGCTCCAATATCCTTTGTTAATCCCCACACGCTATGTGTAAGCTGTGCCCTCCCTCATCATTATCCATAGCTCTCAACAGTGTAAGGTCACTATGAAGTGCCCTTAACTTACCACCCTTGCAGCAGAGCTCAGCTTTAGGCAGCCCCTCGCTCTGCCAGGAGCCCACAGAGATGCTTTTTGCAACTAGCTCTCGCAGCCTCACTAGAAAGCTCGTGTTTTCTCTCGGCACATCAAGCCAGCTGATGCAGTGACCTGCCAAGTGACCTCAGCCAGAGAGGAAGAAGGAAGGGAGGTTCTCAGCTATCACCAGCGGCTCAAGGGTGAACACATCGTCAGAGAAAAGCATGGAGTCTCCTTGTGCCTTTTCCTGCTGGTTATGGAAGGGGCAGGAGAGAAGGGGAAGGCATTCTCGGAGAGCAGAGTCCACCTTGCACTCCCTCAGACAACGATCCATCTTGCCCTCTCTCCGCCTCTGGAGCCTGCAGCCACGGGGAGAGACAAACCAAGCAGATAATGTAATGAGCAACATATTTGCAGAGACTCGTGTGAGCGCAGGGGCAGCAAAGCTCTCGGGGAGGAACAGCAGCAGCTCAGTGAGGGGCTGACCCCAAGCCGTGGGATCCCACATGGGTCAGGTTATCGCTTGCTGGGTGCTTGCCACGGCACGGAGGTTTACTCCACGCTTACAAGCTCAGAAGAGGTTTCTGAAAGCCGGCAGCCCTAGAGAGCCTCCCCGCTCAAAGCCTCTGCCACAACTGATGGAGAATCCACCAACCACCCCAAATGGCTTTTCCTACCACAGAGCTGCTTGGGGGAGGCAGATCAAGATGAAGGAGCACCCACTGCAGGGCTTCACTGGCAGGGGGAGATGCGGCTGCGTTTCAGCTGCAGGACACTGGCATCACTCCTTTTTTCTTCCCCTTTGGACCTGCAGGGGTAAGCAAGCTCAATGTGCTCTCTGTGCCCTATACTACCCCGCACCAGAGGATCCCAGAGCACTGTGAAAGCAAACCAATGAATTCAGGCATCACATCACTTCGGTGAAACCAATGGCTTTATGTGCATGGAAACAGAGGCCCTGGGAGGGGAAGGCACTTTGCCTGGCATCAGCCACTAAAGAACTCTGTACCACCATCTCCGAATCCAAACCTTTATGTCCAGCCTTGAACCTCATTATCTTTTCCCTCTTTTTAGCTGTCTCTGTAGGGCTTTGACAGAGTTCATCTCTCCTTTACTTGGTAGCTGTAGCAGAAATCTTTCTAGTGTTTAAAGATCACAACCAAGAGATAAGGGAGCACTGCTACAGAGCAGTTGCTTCCTAGCTGGCACATCGCTGACCCCTCTGCACGCTCCAGTCCCCAGCCATGAAGAACCAGCAGGTGACAACTCTGGGGGGACGAGTGGAAGGCTCCATGTGTAGCAGATGGAGGCAATGCAGTATTAGCAGGATAGCAATCATCACCCAGCTAAATTTAAATACAGTTTGAAAGGAAATACGGTCATGGACTTTACTAGCTGTACAGACAGAGCCTCGGGCACAGGCTGGCACCAGCACCAAAAGCACTTGCTTTGGCTCGCCCCCCCTGGAGTGCAGTGGGAGGTGTTCTCCATGGCTGACCTACAGCCCTGCACGTCAGGAGGGCTTCCCACCACTGATGAGCAACCCCCAACTCAACCTCCATCAGCGGACAACAGTTCCACCATTACATCCCAGAGTGTCCTGCAGGAGGGAGACACAGCAAACCCCTGGATACACCTTCTAAAGGATCCAGGTCTTCTGGGGTCACAGCCCGGAGCAGAGTCCTGCACTGCCTCCTCTCATGGAAAAAGTCCTCTCTGCTCTGAGATCTCTAAAGCTTCTCTGACAGCAGGACAGTGGCCTTGGAGCTATGACCATCCCTGAGACTGCAAGCAGGAGGAAAAAACATCCTGATCAGACTCTAGGACACCAACTGGCACGAGATCAAATGTAACTGGAAAAGAATCAGGTTGAAGTGAACTGTGGGGAAACCTGGCTGCTTCTGAGGATCACTCAGGAAAGGATCACTCAGGGTCCAATCTGAGACAGGCAGGTGAGAAGAGAGCAGTAAAGGAATGGTCCAGACAAGTGCCCAGAGAAGGTAACGAGGTTTTCTTTTAACACACTGAGCTTGCACTGTGTAATTAAAAATAGAGAACAGTGGAAAACTACTTTTGGCCTTCAAGGCATTTCTGACCTAATTCTGTTGAACTTTATTGGCTCAGGCCCTTAAAGAGTGCTCCAGTTTAAGACAATTTCCTGATCAGCTGTGAGCTAACTCCTATACACCTACATCCATGCAAGGCTGAAAAGTCCCACAAGGATTCCCTTAATTACCCAAACTTAAGTGTCATTTCCAGTTCATCCCCCTGGGCTATAAGTGTTTCTCTGCTGCCTGAAAGGGGAATTTCAAAGCTTCACCACAGACACCCTTGGAAGAACCTGCCCCATCGCTCAGCACCACGAACACACAGGATGCTGCAGCCCCAATGCGCTCTGTCCTGTGCTGCCCTACCTTCCCTGCAGAACTCTTCACCTCCAAATTCTCCCCAGTCTCTGAGGAAGGGTAGAAATACCTCGTTGTGCTGTAAACGGGGACAGTGCAAGGCTTCAACATCCTACAGCAGGACGGCCTCAACTTGCTGGGCCAACGCAGCGCTTTACCCTGCACATTACCGGAGAAGGAACCTGCCACGTTATCAAAGCTGCAGTGGAAGAAGCTGCAGCGAATATCGCAACAGTTGTGCTACCTGCAGCTATGTTAAGTGCTGCTACTCGGTGCAGTCCCGGGTAATGAGGGCTGAGACTTTCCTCAGCCTCACGGACCCTCCATAGCCCAGAGGTCTCTGGATCTCGGTGGTTTGGGGCTCCCACGAATGCAAGTTTGCTCTCTGAGGAAATCCAGTCACTGCAATCAACCTTTCCTCCCCAAAACGCCATCCTCAGCTGGAGTATGGATGAAGCTGGAATGGGAGGCACTGAGCTCCATTACCCTAAAGCCCAGGGTACGTAACCTGGTGCTTGGTAACCTTTACTCGTCCTAAACCATTCAATGCAGCAACACTACCTGAGGCCATACGTTAGTTTTACCCTTGGGCAGTGTATCTTACTGAAATAAATCTTTCCAACGAACCTCAGCTTCAGATGATCCTCCTCTTCCTGAGTAGAAAAAGCCTTCCACTGGAAGTGGACTTTGATTTCACTCTGATTGTGGATGAGCATAGATCTGTGGTTTGACAGCGTGAGGTAAGTCTTCTCAACTGTCAGGGAGCTCCTGGCCAGCCCGATGTTGACATTTTCAGCCACTCCATAAAGGCCTGTGTGAATATCTTCACCTGGAAAAAAACAAAGGGGAGTCTTTGCTCATCTCACTTGCTGATGGAAGTACGAGGAACCAAGCAAACCATCAGCAACAGAAGAAACTGTTACAGCTTTTAGCTGTATTAGCAGTTCCAGAGGTCCGCACATTTATCACATCCTGACAGCTGCCTGTGTGCAGAATGAGGATGTCCTGGGCACCACTGCCAGCACCTTATTTCTGGCTGTGCTTGTACAGATTTATCCCCAAGGTGACAGTATTTACAGTGAGATTTTTCAGATGTGCCCAGGTGGTCTTTGGGTTGCCATCCCACTCCAGTCACAGGGAATTCTGCAGCCAAGTCATTCGGGTGACTCTGAGGAGTCCTTAATCCAGTAGCTGAAGCTCCCTTCCTTGCCCTGGGTGCGCAGAGCCACAAAGGCGGCTCTCAGCCTGGGTCTGTGATCCACAGCAAACAAGCCAAGACTTGCTTGAGGAGAGCTTTGCTCAGGAACTCAGACCTTCCCGTAAACTGTGTAGGAATTTGATGGAAAACGATGCATTAATCTGCCAAACACCCAGGTGGTTCCTCAGCAGGCTTTTAGCACGAGGCTAGAGGCTTCCTCAGCAGGATTACAGCCACTGAGAACTATTGCTCTGCCCATCTCTTCTGGGGAAGCTGCTTTCTGGGGCTCTACACCAAGAGGAAACAGGACAGTAACAGAGCGGACATTCCTCCCTGAGGGCTGCCTCTTCTTGGACATGCTGCCTCCTAACCCTCACAGATGAGAACTGGCTCTGATCTCTCCCCTCGGAAAGAGAGCGCCTGCCCCCAGACTTTTGCTTCTGCGTTAGTCTCGCAGAGCCACCAAAGGGAAACGACCTGCATAATTACTCTTACTCCTGGCAGCAATAAAAGCATCCCAGTACAGAGGGTCTGTCAGCCACGTACAAGCTCAGAGGGGCTTTGCTAATTACTGAAGTTCTCTGTGCTGACAAAGAGATCCCCAGGGATGTGGTGACTGATGGGGAAAAACTGTGCAGAGGAATTTCAGCACCACGCAAGAGATCCCCTGGACTAGAAACACGTTTTAGCACCTTGCCACAGGGTCCAGTGGGCACTGCAGGCACCCACATACAATGTGCACAGATTCTGGTCCTACACGTTGAAGACCACCCATCAGACCATAGGAGGTACTTCTTGGAGTCAAAGTCTAATGCGAGTCAGGATTTAGGGAGCTCGGAGCAGAGAAGCCATCCTCCTTCCACAGCTCCCAGCATCTCTCCAGCACCTCCTGTCTCTGGCAGCCTCCTTTACCCGCATGGGGCGCCTGACGCAGATGTTCTTGTCCCTGGCTGCTACGGGACTGCCGAGTTTGTTGTGCACCTCTGGCACAGCTCTGGGAAGCTGTCACACATCTCCTTAACAGCGTGCCCCTGAGCGAAGCTCACCCTTCCACGCCAAGCTGGTGCTGCACTGTCGGGTTGCAATAAACATCACGACTGCAGCAAACCGCGTCTGATGTACAAACAGCAACACTCAGGGCAACCGGCTTGGGCATCTCACTTGAGCACCGCTTGAGAGCTAGAAGAGTATCTACGCTTTACGAATACTGACTTGGTTGGGACTAGACTTTACAAACTTATTTTCCCACATCCACACGGGGCGGTCTAAAAGTCATTTGCGGAGGGCCGAGCCACCAGCAGGATTTTTAGTGGTGCTGAGTGCCAAACCTCTTCCAAACCTGTATGTGTGCTTGGCATGCAGGCTTCAGAAACTTCTTCTGATACCATAATCTGATGTTAAGGTGATGAATAGGGACGTGCTGTAGCCCAGAACATCCCAAGTCACGCTCATCTCAGTATGAGCTGGGAGTTTTCACACCCAGACCCACGTACATGGAGGAAATGGAGGAGTTTGGACATGTAAAGCAGTGAAGGTCAAATTTTCACTGTAAACCATTATGCTCTTAGCAGCAAAGACATTTTCTTCACATTCATCTGTAAAGTTTGTGGCAAGACAACTACCACCACACACACAGTCTATCCAGGGGACGGTACCTGTACTCCTAACCAGGACAGTCTAAAGGATGCACAATTCAAATCAACAAAATAACGGGCAAAGGGAAGAGCTCCATGTCTGCTTAAGCAATGCCAGGGACAGATTTGACTCAAATCTGTCAGCAACAACTAAAGCCACGCAACATGCACCTGATCCCGCATCAGTCACACCAACAACAGTGTGATTCACTGCGAACTACTGCCACTTGTGAGCAAGTCAATACAGACACACAGTAAAGCAAGGGAAGCACCTCCCAACACCCTACACTGACGTTTTGCTCTTAGTGCCTCTGTTTCATGAAAAACAGTCTGTTGGTGGCTCTGAAAGAGCAATCCAGCTGCTTTTTGTATCCGAGTCCCAGGGAGCCTGACTTTGCACGGGAGAAAGCAGCCAGGGCTCGCCCGGCCAGGCTGGGTAACACGCTCAGGTGCTCTGCGCTACACCTGCAACAAGCAGCTTTTAAGACTGATGGATTAAATGTTTCGGTTTCCCTTCAGCAATTAATCTCAGCAGCCTTTTATTTATTTGTATGCTTCAAAGCTTGAGAGACAATCCCTTAATTATTCCTTGCTCCCCTTTTCAGCCTGTGGTTTATTGAAAAATAACTGCAGCGCCATTCTGACAGGCAGGAATAAATCCTGCCTTCATCTCCCAGGTAGCTGCACCATGTTCTGGGGAGGTTGCCCATGCCAGAGCCAGCTGATAGTTTTGTCCCTGTGGCCTGTCCATGAAAATCACTCTTGCAAAGATTAACCGTGCAGGAATCAGGTGTTTCAGTAAGAACAAGGCTCAGCTTTTCAAAGCAAGCTGTGAAGATCCTGGCCCTGGATTCTTCACTTGGACTTTTCATGTCACATGGTATAAACCCCACGGCCCTAACCTCGAGTATAGTTAGCCCTGATCTAACCCAGAAAAAGATCTATGCCTCCGAAGTTTATCCTCTAGGTTCCCTATATGCATATAAATGAGGCACCTTTTGTCATTCTCTGTCTGAAATTCCAGTAGTCTGTCAAGAAAGTGTTACCCAAACCAATGAGCTTCTCTGAGTGACCATAAACCATTCTCTGTGAATGTGTCATTGACTGAAAAAGATTAAACAAAGCTATGACAACTCAGAAGGCTACAAAGAGCATTTGGAATATACAGGAGCATTTCTAGAACTTCTATAACCTCAAGGCAGTAAAATGCTCATTTTGGGGCTAAAGCATCACAGTTGCACCTAGGTGAGGACATCACACCTCCCAGGAACAAAGTTCAGGAATAGGGACAAAACAAACCTCTCTTTCAGGCAAGAGAAATTGCACACCAGATACATTCAGGCAACTGAGGAAGTGTCTCGACCAGCATCACAAGATACCTCTGCTGAACCAATGCAGACAGAAGCATTTTAACATCACACCTTGCGTTTTTCCCACTTACTCTTAAAGTGACTTACAAAGCTGACAGCATTTCTGTTGGCTGAGCTTCTTCTCATACCCTAGTATAAATCTTACACCTATATTGGGAGGCAGCGAGCACTCCCTGCCAGACCCCAAGAGCCCTGGCTGCTTCAGCCCTGATACTGTCAAGTGTGGGATGTAGATGGGCAGAGGGCAACATAAAAAAAGGGTCTGTGGCAAGACAATGGAGAAGCAGTACAGGGGACAGAGGGGTGTAAGAGACAGGGGGCCTTTAGAGTGTCCGACAGAGACGTGTGTTCCCCACGTTACACTTCAAACAGAGCATTGTCTAGCAATAAAACTTCACACCTGCATGTGCACACTGCAATGGAGAATCAAGGGTCCCCCTTCCTCCACTCAGCAAGTCCCAGGAAGGCAGCATGCCAAAAATCTCATTCCTGCTCGAGGGGATCCACATTAACAACCCCCTAAACACCAACTATTTGTCACTTTCCCCCGCAGTAAAGAACAGAGGAGGTACACCCGGAGAGGGAATTAAGGTGGCTGCGACAACGGGCAATGATGGTAGATGACTGTCATGGGGCGTGCTGGGTGGAGAACACCGTGTGGACACCAGGGATGGACCAGCACACAGCCAACAGGACACACAGAACAGGCTCAGCCTTTGCCCCTTATCTGCTCCCTTCTAAGCACTGAAACATGCAGAGGTTTTAAAAGAAAAGCTTTTAGAAGGAGTTTGCAAAGCAAGTTTAACATTATTCTGCTTAGAAGGGGCTCTGTTCTGAAGGATGCAGAGCGTGCGCCACGCAGTGCCCAGCACTTACCTGTGTCATAGCGAACTACCAGGGAACCGGAATGATCCCCGGTCTTCAGCGGGTGAAACTCCACTGTCACTTGCACGGCATCACCAATCCCAAGAGTCCCGATGGAGGGCTCCACAGAGAAGGGGCTGCAACAGAGAGAGACACATCAGGGCTACTGTGGGTGATTCGGGGAGTATACTCTTTTTGCAGCCTACTCCAGCTCACTTATGCAAGCAGGAAGCAAACAAGCCACAGCCAGTAGAAAAAAACAGAACACAGGGGATCTGAAATGGCGGTACGGACTCTCACTTCTGAAGAGATCTAGCTCTCCAAACATCCTGGGGTGTCAAACCACCTCACCTCCCCCCTACTCTGCAGGGAGGCTCAGGAGTCCGACCGCTGGCAATACAGCCAGAGGACGGGTTCTGAGGAGCACAGAGAGGGTGAGAGCTATCTGCCTGCACAACCTGACACTGACTTCCGCAGGAATCTGTCTTTTCCTGCCACCTATAAACTCCACCTCAAGAGATGCAAACGTCAGGGCATTACCTGTCCCAGGGAGACTGCAGCCGAGCAGTCAGACAGGAGGGAGAATAAGTGTCTTTCTGGAAGACCAGAGAATAATTATGGTTTAAATTGCAGAATTCCTTTTCTTTACCTTGAAAACAGCCTAGTTTACCTAAGAAAGGGCACTTTTCATCAGCATTACGATGAAAGCTGCTCTAAAGAACAATCAGAAAAAGCTGAGTAAGTGCAAATGCAGATTAGAGCAATACAGTGACATGGAAACAAGACTTGGCAGGAGGATCCCATTTACAGCCTGAACCATTAAACCCCCGGCTACATGAAGTGCCATGACCAGGAGCACATCAAGATGACTAGAACAGGAGGTTTTCTGTGCATTCACAAGCACTGCAACCTGGGACTCTGGGTTGTAATCCTAACTCGGTAAATGTTTGCTTGGCCCACCAGGTTTGGAGGTTTTTTAATAGCTCCTTTTCTTCTGACATGCTTTTTAGCTATGTCCATTTGTAGGCTTGCTTTGTTGTACGATATCTAAACTTCCACAAGTCCAGATCTCCCAATGGCACCTTGCAGGCCTCAGTTTGTATAAACTTATCTAGCCACACCAATTTAGGAGAGACCTGCCCATCAGTACTTGCCGAGACCTTGCCTGTTATTGCCCTTCAGAAAGATTCATAAGCAATTCCATAATGATATATTTGGGCATTTACATCTTGCTTACTTTCACCAGGCAACAGCTCCCCACCTAGACAGCTGGGCATCCCGTGATGATACCAAAGGCCAAATACTCCTGACAGAACTGAGAAACACGACTGACAAGCGAACAAAGCTGGCGGTTCTGTGGCCCAGGCTCTCAAACCACCATGCTGCCTCTTCTCCTGCAACCACACCTCTGGCACACGCCGTGTGCAAGGAGGCTGCAAGGCACGTCAAGTGCCGTGGCGTGTTCATCTCCTGCAGCCACCCTTTCTTTGGTCTACTGGGGCCTTATAAAATCATTTCAGTTTGGGACAATCGATTTCATTACAAGCTACCTCCAAACCCAAGGAAGACAGTAAAGTTACTGTTGACTGAATTGCCTCTTCCGTCCACTAAGATCTATTTCAGGAAAAAAACAAAGGTCATTTAATCTTCGCATATATTATTTCTTAGTAACGGTATAACAGCCCAAGTCAAGCAGCATAACTATTCCAGTAAACCCAGTCTGCTACAGTCAAAGAATCCAAAACTCCACCTCTGTGCTGAAAAATCCTGTGTGCAATCAGCATCTCACAAGCTCTGTATTTCCCTCTTTCACTGCACCTAGGCTCTATTTTCATGTCCTTGCATGGTCTTTGCACGTCCTTCAGGAACTCGCCAGTCTCACACCTCCATGTAGCGTATGGGAACTACGGGGAGGGATGCAAGGGGGCTCGAGGCACTGTGCCTCGCAGGATAATTTCCTGAGCCTTCAGAGCTTGGTGGGGACGTTCCTAAATGGATCTTATCTCAGACTGATCCCCTCTAGCCCCACAGCATGGCACAGCACAATGTCAGCAATGTCACGAGAAGGCAGTGCTGCACCGAGATCTGCTTCCAGACACCATTTTCAACTCCAATGTACTGGGATGACATTTGTCTATGGGAATGTCATGGAGCAGAAACTCATTATCCTGCCTTGACAATGAGACAACAGGAAGAGACTGTCTCTATTTATACTATTATTTTTTTTTATTGCCAGGCTATGCAGTTAAGAGCTGGATGTGGACCTGCAGAGGGAGGAGCAGCACTAAGCCAGACTGCATAACAGGGAGTGCTTTGGTGGTTTACTCCCTTCATGAAAAAGTGGTCAAAATGCAGCCGTGCTTCTGGGAGAAACCATGGCAAGGGGGAGCCCTGAACGGGGAACAGCAGGAGGATGCTGAATTGCCCCCATGGCTTCACTTAAGACCTCTTCACTGGAGGGAAATGCACAGCAGAAAACATCAAAGTCTTTAGATAAATAAGTAACAGGCAGGGCATGTCATCATGAAGTGGCCAGATGCAAGAGCTGAGCTCTCAGTACAGAGGGGAAAGGTTAGGACTGGAGATGGGCTGAAAAACGCACTGAGGGGAAGGCAGACAGGTTATGCTTGATGCCACAGAGAAAGAAATCCAGAGAAAAGCAGCAAGGAAATGTGATATAAGCAGCACGATGGACTAGGAAATGGTGGCATCTGCAGCTGTCATGTGAACGGGCAAGAGCCTGAATATGCTCAGGCCAGAAAACACAAGTTTAAATTGTTTAGATAGAGAATAAAGGATACAGAGGTCACCTGATGGATCTATAAGCTTAGACAGCTCTCTCACTCCCTTCTACTCCACTAAGTCTCCTCTTCTTCCTCTCACGTGCAACCATGTATTTTTAAATACTCATCTAAGAGTACTTAAAAAGAAATCTGAATGAAAGTCAGGGCAACTTAATTAGAATAAAATGCTACTTATAGTCAAAGATCTAAATCATCTGTTTGAAATTTCAAAGTGGCTTTCAAAAGTTCATCGTGAAATGGAAGAGATGGCAGATGCCCTCAGCTGCCAAGGGAAATCGCATCAGCTTTCCATCCCTGTACACATGCAACCCAGTTGTTTAGAATATTTTTTGTGTAGTTTGAAATAAAACGTTTGCAACGCTTCCCATTTCTTTCTTGCAAATCAGGACTGAAATATTTAATTGCTGAAGTTCAGAAACTCTTATAATCCATATCAAACAGGATTCGACATGTGCCCTATCACTCAACTGAGGAGTTGGAGTATACATTGCAAAAAGGTGCTAGACTTTACTGAGTGTTTATTTTGGTGGAAACAACTGGATCTGGAGATCCCAGAGGAAAACTCTGCAGTGATTTACAAGTTTCTGTCTACATGTTTCCACAGGGAAAAGCAGCAACCTCCTTAAATTGCAAACTAGAAGCCTGCTAAAATAGCCTTGCCAGGCTTTGGTGGAAGCTCCTCTTGAACCCTCACGTTTCACAAGAGAAAAGGAAAGAGCAGCCTTTTGAGCCCTGCTTTCCTGGAGAAGAAGTTGAAGAACTCAAGTGCACCCAGTCCGACCGCTGGTCTTTGCTGCATTCTTGAACTCAGCTCCTACACCAAGGCCTCCGGGACCAAGCAACTCACCACAGATTACCAGCCAACTGAAGCAGTTTCCCTGCAGCTCCATTACCCTCTGCATTCAGTAAACTGGGAAACCAGTGACAGTCTTCCGAGACCTGAAGGAGCAGGACAGGCTGTCCACAACACAACTCATGTCAAGCATTCGATTTGAGACCACCGGAACACCACAGCGTTGGCTTGCAGCCTCCCAGAGCATGGGTGTCTCTGGCTGACACTGCTATTGAACCACTTCAGAAGGCACTCAGCATCAGGAGGTTGCCAGCTGCATACTTACAGATTCGAGCACTCCGCCGGAAATCTGGGAGAGATAGAGCTCTAGAAGAAAAGGCCCCCAACCCATGCACCAGACACTTGCTGCACCTTTTGCCTGTGCCCTCATTAGCATGCTGCTTTGGGGCTGTGGTGCCATTTTGAAGTCAACGTCTGCTCACCTCCACCTAAAAGCTCACTCTACTTAATATTTGGTCCCAGGGACCAGACCAAACCTACTGGAAAACAAAGTGCCTGGACCACACAGTGTTCTTGTCAGGGCCTCAATACCAATTGTTTTCATTTACGATCTCTAATGGCACTTGCAAATAAACACACAGCTGCTGGGAAATTCTGAAATGTCTCTCACCAGCTCACAGCTTGCCCATCTCTTAACACGGCGTTTGGTCTACAGGAATCAAGCTCCTAGAGCTGTCGCCTGCCACGCACAATCTTACACAGCCCAAGGGCAGCAGGTTGCCCTCCTTAGTGTGCTCTGTTGGAGACACCGCTGCAGTACAAAACCTCGCTGCAGCACGCCGAGTTTTATCAAAGGTTGCATCACGCTTAAAACACTATAAGCAACAGCAAAACCCATGTGTCCTGCCCGTTTCCAGCTACGGCTGCAACACAGCAGCTCAGATGTTCTGGTTCCTTGTTGTTACCATTTACCAACCATATTATCAGGCAACAGTGTTTTGCACAAAGACGACGAGCTCCTTTACCTCTCAGTGCTGATGCAGTAGCGAGCCTCCCGGTTACCGATGTTGCGAACCAGCAGAGTTTTCTGGGAGCTGTACTTGACTGGACAGACAGAGAAGTCCAGCTGGTCAGGGAAGTCCAGGATAGCTCGGGCACCTATAGCTCGGATTGGCACGATAAATTTTTCCCTTTCTGTGATGCAGGTGACCTGGTAGAAATAATCCTACAGGGAAAGAAACAGTCTCAGCACAGTGCATTTAGTCCCATCCCATGGCAGAAGGAAAATCGCTGGTTGCTATGACTCTTAACAGGTAGCATCCAGTAACCTCAAAGGGCTTTTTACCTTAATGACTTTTCATTCCTGTAGTGTGAATTGAACAAGGCGGTTAACTTGCAAAGAAGAAACAATCCCATCGATTCACCTGCTTGCACAGCAAGCTGGCAGAACCAGACAAAAATAGCTGATACATTGATTCGGGGGCACCAAAATAGAGCAATTTCATGGAAGGGATTACAGCAGTAACAAGAACCCGCTTCAATCACCACTGCAGATGATCAAAGGCTCCACTAAGCACCCAGTGGTGCCACAGCACTAACTCCAATCCCAGCAACGCAGAGACCTCACTGACACTGGGCAGGGGATGCTCGGGTGCCTTTTCAAAAGGACTTTGCCACATGCACAACCAACGCTTAGTCTTTGGTGAAATATTTAACAAGCTGGACACGGGAACTGTTTTAATGTCAGGTGAGTGTAGGGTTAGTGTGTATTTCATACCGCTTCCCAGAGCATTATAGAGACAAGGCTGGGGACACACACCCTTAGAAAGCTATCTGATCCATCTCCCCACCCCAGAACTGGCTCCGCTCTGCACCCAACCTGTTCTTGCAAGATGTCTGACAAGTCCTTAAAAGCACAAACAATGACACCCTCAGCAGCCTATTCCAGCTCTACTCTAGACTTCAGAGTTCTTCCTGCATCCAATCTCAGTGCCCCTTTCCAGCTCACTTAGCCTCAGGGGACATGGGAAAGAGCTTGCTTCCTCTCTGCTGCAGGGCTGATGCCAGTTAGCATGCCTACCTGAGGCAGGTGGCAGCAGGAGCTGCAGATGGGACACACCGGGACAGCCCTGCCAGAGCAAACTCAGCTGTGCTGCTCCCCAGCATTGGCTTGTTCACAAGAGAGACAGACAGTCCCTCCAGCTGTCTGGCATTTAGCAGTAGGAAGCCAAATCAAACCACCGAAATCACTGTACTGTAGGGAGGAGCAGATCCATCTCCAGACGGACAGTGTGGCATCGCAGTGCTGCAAGTATCCCCTTGCCCCCGCTGAAATCACCCGTAAAACTGTTGCAGCAGGGCCAGGAGCCATTACCTCCAGCCTCACCTTGTTCTCCTCCGGGGTGAACAGGATGCGGAAGGTTGAACACATGCCAGGCGCGACCTTACAGCACACACCACTGGGCCTGGTCAACTTGAAGTAAGGTGACGGCTCCAGGACAACCTTTCCAGCCGAGGAACCTGCAGGAAAGACAGGAAACTATGATTGTGCCACTCACATGGAAACATGAGGAGTAAATACCTGGCCATGCCCTGGGGACATCTCTCCTTAACCACCTTTCCAAAGCACTTTTAACTGCTGAGGGTGTCACAACCTGGATTGGAAGCCCAGGGAGTCACAAGGGTGATCCCTTTGGATTAAATTAAGGTGAAATGAACCAAATGACCAGTTAAAGCGTTTTACCTGTGGTAGAAAACAATTTAATGTTGGAAAAGGATAATAAGCAATGTGGTCTCTTTCAAATCTATAAGAAAGAAAAGAAAGGAAAGAAAAAGAAAGGTGAGAAAGAGTCAAAGCAATCTGGGTCACCACCCATGGATCCAGTGTTGTCTCAGGTCCGACCATCTTGGCTGGTAGATGCACACACAGCAAAGGTTCTGCTGCCTTTTCAGTTCATCCTATCAGCTGGCTAGCACGCTTCTGCTTCAGGGGCAGAAATGCTCACCTCTCGCCAGGCCTTGTCACCTCTTCAATGGCAAAGGCACAAAGCCGTTCGCAAGGCCAGCATGGCGTCTGGTGACACAATGGAGCCACAGAGTACCGGGCTTTCACAGTGCAGACAGTGATTAGTGGTCTTTGGGCTTGAGGGGGAACTTGTGGTTTCACTGTTTCCCCCCCTCTGAGGCCCACATAAGGTGTTTGTCGATACAACTGCAAGGGAGTGGGGGTGCAGCCCTCCACACACTCCCGCTCCCTCGGGTGACATTCCTTAGACTAACCACAAAGGCCTGAGACAGGGAGTCTAAACAATCTTAGATTGTTGGTGCAAGGCCTGCGCAAAAACAAGGGGAGGCGTATGGGACTGTTCGAAAAGACATACCAAGTACTGATAACGTTGCTAGGCGATTAACTCCTAGCCCAAAGAGAAGTCCCTCCTAGTCTTTGAAAAACAGACAACCCCAAAACATTGGACTGGAAGAAAGCCAGAGAACAACTGAGGCTGCGCAGAGCGATAAGGAGAAAAGTTCATCAGGGAAGAAGAAGAGGAGACCTGATTACCATGAGAAGCGAGGGGAGGCGGGGGTAGACTATGTATATGTACAGGTGTTTTATGAATATGCACTATTTTGTAACATATAAGCCGGACGAGAGCTGCAGACGGCGCGCATGCTTGTGGTGGAGCGATCCCCCATGCGCCCAGCGCTGAATAAACATACCCACTTTATAACCCCAAAAGGTATAGAGTGATTTCTCCGCAAAACATCTTGGCACCCCAGAAGGGACTCCTCTGCTTGGCTGCCGTCGACTGCTGACGGGTGGACTTCCTAGGTGCACCCCGAGCTCTTCTCGGAGGAACTCCGCTCCCAGCTGTCCACTGAGGTGGCAGACAAGGACCATCTGGTTTGCGGACAGAGGTATGTTTACAAGGGTAACGGGCTGCTGGTAAGACGCGCAGAGACGTCTGACACACGGCTCAGTCCCGAGGAGGGGGTATACCCATTTGGTTTTGGCTTTGGGAATCCGCGGGAAAGTAAGATCTTTTGGGGCAAACTACCGATGACTGGTATATAAGAGGCAGTTTGCATTTTGGGCAGGGTACTGGTATTTACCGTCACCTGCAGGATCTTGCTTCAGGTCATTGTATAGTGCACTAATGGTGGATATACTGGCTTTGAACTGACTGCTAATTGTTAATGGTTTATGATATATGTTACTAACGGACTTGGTGATTGTTTAAACTCGGTATATTTTGTGGTATGAGTGAAAAGTGTGATGGGCCCTTTAAGTGTCTGTGTGCCTGCGTGCCGTGAGTGAGAGCAGCCGCTGCTGTGTGTCAGTGTGCCTGCGTGCCTGCAGGGGCAGGGTGTGAGTGAGAGGCAGCTGCTGCAAGGGAAATGAGAAGTTTATGACAAGTTTATGTTTGTTTAAATAATACACTGTTCTTGTATGTCTTGTGAAATCATTGTATGAGCTGGAGATGGGAAAGTGAATCCCTTCTCTGTCAGTTTGGGTTAGATTTGGTCGGATTATTTGTGTAATAGGAGTGAATGGTTGGCACAGGGAAATGATTTATACCTGCT